GTATTGGGGACCTACTCTGTCACGGATTCCTACGTGGTGACTAACATGGGTTGGGTATTGGGTACCTGCTCTGTCACGGATTCCCACGTGATGACAAGCATGGGTTGGGTATTGGGGACCTACTCTGTCACGGATTCCCACGTGGTGACAAGCATGGGTTGGGTATTGGGCACCTGCTCTGTCACGGATTTCCACGTGGTGACAAGCATGGGTTGGGTATTGGGGACCTACTCTGTCACGGATTCCCACTTGGTGACAAGCATGGGTTGGGTATTGGGGACCTACTCTGTCACGGATTCCCACATGGTGACAAGCATGGGTTGGGTATTAAGGACCTGCTCTGTCACGGATTCCCACGTGGTGACAAGCATGGGTTCGGTGTTGGGCACCTGCTCTGTCATGGATTCCCACGTGGTGACAAGCATGGGTTGGGTATTGGGGACCTGCTCTGTCATGGATTTCCACGTGGTGACAAGCATGGGTTGGGTATTGGGCACCTACTCTGTCACGGATTCCCACATGGTGACAAGCATGGGTTGGGTATTGGGCACCTGCTCTGTCACGGATTCCCACGTGGTGACAAGCATGGGTTGGGTATTGGGCACCTGCTCTGTCACGGATTCCCACGTGGTGACAAGCATGGGTTGGGTATTGGGGACCTACTCTGTCACGGATTCCCACGTGGTGACAAGCATGGGTTGGGTATTGGGCACCTGCTCTGTCACGGATTCCCACGTGGTGACAAGCATGGGTTGGGTATTGGGCACCTACTCTGTCACGGATTCCCACGTGGTGACTAGCATTGGGCGGGTGTTGGGCACCTACTCTGTCACGGATTTCCACGTGGTGACAAGCATGGGTTCGGTGTTGGGCACCTACTCGGTCACGGATTCCCACGTGGTGACAAGCATGGGTTGGGTATTGGGGCTTTAATGTCATTACTTAATTCACAATGTATGTCCACATATGGCGATGTCACTGACTGAGTGAGGAAAGTGGTGGTTCGGAGATAAATTCGGCTTACTGTTGTGACACAAATAAATTACATTCTGCAGAAACACGAAAAGCAGCCATATTGGTAATCAAGTGAGTGTACCACGTGAGCCACATTTTCATCAATATCGAACGAAGAGACTTCACATTATGAGATCAATATATAACTAATCGTATTGATAAGCTTGGATCACATTACTTAAGTTGGATCACGACCTTATACGGTCTACCGTTCTTACTCTATCTGGGTAGATAACGTGTATTTATGTTCCCCATGATTTGCACATCAATAAAATAAGGCCAGAAATTGTCTGTATCTCAAATCTCTATGGCGTCGCTTCCGTAGAGGCAGATAGTTGGGACATTAAATATTTCGGATGATGAATTTTTAATACCATGAAGGAAGCTGATAACTCATGAAAAGTAGTATGTTGAACTTGGTTATTTCTGTTTGAGAAACATCGAATGTATCATATTTCAAAATTGCTATACGTAATTCTTGCTTCGAGCAGAGACCATATAATAGAGGGCCCTCTATTATATGGTCTCTGCTGCAAGACACTGGGTACAGTTTAATGTATATTTTCCATAATATTGATTGTGTTGGTTGTGTAGGGTTGCTGGAGAGTAATGATCAATTCTTAGGTGTTATCCATCATCTAATACTGCCACGTTTACATATTCCACAGAGATGGACACCGGATAGAAATAGACGGAGTCATTCACTAATCGAAGCGGCCATAAAATGGTGCAATGTATCGTTGAGGTTGATTTCGTGGTTCAACGCAGAAGGTATGAATTTCACCCAGGCTCTCTGTGTGTGTGTGCGTGTGCGTGCGTGCGTGTAATTGAAAGTCCTCTTAAGGAGAATAGCACGTGGCGATATGGATAGTTTAACAAATGACGACGTGCAGGCCATCCTCAAACTCTCTTAAAACACTGCCCGGTTCTACGGTTTTAAAACATGATACTAAATACCCTTTGCATGCATGCATCTTAATTATGTGAATGACTAAGAAAACTGGGCATTGTCCTGGGATTCTATTATTCTATTAGTTTGTACACTGAAATCATATATATATATATATGTAAGTAAGGTAAGTTACTCTCGCTACCTCCACGATGTAAGGGCAGCGCATTACGTGTTAATACGACTTATCAGAGCCGCGCTAAAGAGATTAGGAAAATGACAATCGGAATGGGTTTTTTTTCTGATTATGCTGCTGGAAATGGCTGACAGGGGTACACCGAACGTTAGTTACCCACGGGCTATATGACTTATACTATAACATGGATAATAACATAAAACATCGTCTACAAACTTCAATTGTGGTGGTGGGGTAGCTTAGTGGTTAAAGCGTCCGCACGTCACGCCGAATACCCGGGTTCGATTCCCCACGTGGGTACAATGTATGAAGCCCATTTCTCGTGTCCCCCCGCCGTGATATTGCTAACTGCGGAGTAAAACTAAACTCACTCACTCATTCACTTTATGTCCAGTATAGCAACTCCTTAGGCACATCACTGTACACTGCTGGTGCAAGTACATTTGCATGATATCGTTTGTCTGTTTGTTGTTTAACACTGCACTCAGCAATATTACAGCTATATTACAGCGGTCTGTAATTAAACGTGTCACGAGCATCTATCTACACAGTTTTGATAAGTGTTGGTTAAAATCTCAAAATTGATGATTGTATTATTACCAACGAGTGATCATCGAAAATAATTGGTGAGCGTCATGTACAAATTTTCCTGGTTATGTTTGTTAATGCACAAAAAGTGTAGAAAAAAAATCTGCACTTGCAAATTTCATATCATGACTACTATGGTGGAAACATAAATTTCTTTGAGAGCCTTTAACATAAATTCAATCAAGACTTGGAACGAGCTTGTAGTGCTGATGACATGTAAATTTAATAACAGACAAAACAAACCTTGTGAAAAATATTGTTAATGCAAACAAGTGTTCCAAAATTGTTTGTGTTCGATTATGAGAAAACATGATCGATTGCTTGGTCGTTTAGTCACTGCGACCAATCTTCGATTATTTCAGTTAATCGGACCACCACTAGATGGGATACGATGACATGTAATATTAGAATGGGGTTACCAAATTACATACATTCGTGTTCATAAACACCGGTCTAAATCAGTGTATGAAATAAGCCAAAAACCCAGCCAGACATCTGGGCTGGTAACTTAAAAAAATTACCAGCCCAGAAGAGATTTAACCAGTCCTTCTTAAGTACTAAATAGATAGTGCCAGTGGCCACGTTATCTGATTTTTGTTTTCCGACCGGTCCATCGGGCTGGCTAGCTGTAAAATTAGACCGTACGGCAGAAATCTAGCCCGTCCCGGACGGTCGGGCGGGCCTTATTTCATACACTGTCTAAATATACTTATGGAAACGAATAAGGGAACACATGAAAATACAAGTTTTCCTTTATTCTTTTCCAGAATTTCACCCACAGTACAATACAAAGCTTGTGAAGAAATCTGGAAAAGAATAAAGCAACACTTGTACTTTTAGGTGTTCCCTTATTCGTTTCCATGAATATATATTATTGATTTGTCGTGACAAAAAGACGCAAAATCCATGTTAACATTATGCAATGGTCATAACATTTTCTAGTTTCGTTAAGGGATTCATAAAACAGCAATTTTTATCCGAGTGAGTAAGTATGTTTTTACGCCGCTTTTAGCAATATTCCAACAATATCACGGTGGAGAACACCGGATAAATGAGTTTCACACATTGTACCAGTGGGGAATCGAACACGGTTCTTCGGCGTGAATAGCGAACGCTTTAACCACAAGGCTACCTCACTGCCCCTTTGATCTGAAGTCGGACTCCTGATCCACATGACCAAAGATGCTACCCTCGTCAGCAAAAATAATGTATGGGATGACCCTTGCCTTGCTACATACCGTATACCCTCTAATAAGCGCCGGAAGTAAAGCAGCGGTTTAAGAAATAAGCGCAGGGTCTCTCATAAGCTCCGGGTACATTTTCTATAAAAGTATTCTCCCTTGATCCAAAAATAGATTTATAAAGGAATGGTACCTTTAGTCATAACTTCCGCAATAAACGCCGGGCCTTTAATAAGCGCCGGGTGTGGTAGTCCGTTGGATAGGTAAGCGCCCGGGCGCTTATTAGAGGAAATACGGTCTTTGGCCGACTATTTGGGAACTGAGACTAATTTTGCTCAAATTTAATTGATGTACATGTGCTAAATCCCAAATTGGGCGCCATTGGGACCATAAAATTTCCGAGTCACGTGATGGAAGTCGAACCCTCTTTTGATGCGTTGTCCACAACGACGTATGACGTAGTCCACGTATTCCCATCCACAATACTTGCATCCGTGAAAATTCACCCCTAATTTTGAACTGTGTTGCATCATGTTTTAGTAGAACGCCGCTTGGAACAACATTTCGTTTATGTCACGGCCTTTAAAATAACTCGGATCATATCCAGTGAATATAAATTTGTATTATTCCTAGTGACCACCCTTGAAGATCCGGGTTAGAATTGATCTTCAGTAACCTATGCTTGTCGTAAGAGGCGACTAACGGGATCGGGATCGGGATCGTATTGCGTAGATCGGTGCTCATCATGTTGAACACTGGATTGTCTGGTCCAGACTTATTTACAGATCGCCGCCATATAGCTGGAATATTGTTGAGTGCGGCTTACTGTGCTCGTGTTCAGTTGTGTTACCCAATCACAGCTATACCATGTCCGATCTCCTTTTGCCAAGCATTAAGATTAACTGAAGACAGTTTACACATATTATATTCTTGTTTTCAAAATGGAATATGGCCAAACAAATATATAGTATAATCCTTCATTACTGCGCATAAGAAAGTAACAATGAAATAAACTGGCACAATGCTAGATCCAAAACAGCACACGCCGCTTAGTAATTTGAGTTACCCGCGCTGTCAATGTTATCGGACAGTAGGTGGCGCTGCGGCCGGAAGTAGAAATCCCCATGTGTTGTTGTCTAGCTGCAGCAGCGTCCGATCAGTTGAGAGCGAAATGCATCGCCTGTTAAACTGTATCCATGGATGTGTACCAAAGTGACTTCTGGATGTATATTGTCCTCATCTGTCCGGCGGGCTGACAGAGAGTCAGGTAGGCCTACAAACTACCCTCAGTGTCAGGAACTGGATTTGGGTTTGTGTGTTCATCGTTTGTTTATCTGCGACTAACGTGAAAGGGGGGTGGCGACATCTACTGCAGATGATGGTTTACAACCATGTGGAGTCACCTATACGATGTATAGATACGAAGAGTCAAAGTTCTTGCTAAGTTCTCTTAGTGTTTGAAATTTAAATACCCACTGGGAACGGTTGCACGAAGAAAGGTCAACTCCACGAGAATCGCTGATTGTTTACTGGCGTGTTGGAGTCAAAAGCGGTGGTGCTTGTGAATCAAACGCGTCCAAATCTGGCCTTTAAAAGAATAAGAGATTGTAAACGTAGTGCACAAAACTGTTCATTGGCAACTTTGTACTGAAACTATCAGTTTTAGGTATTTGAAGAAAATAATGAACAAACCAATATTTTTTTATTGTTCATGATTCCAGATCAGGCTCAAATGGAAATACTTCAAAGTAAGCCAACAATATCTCTTCTTTTTCATAGTTTCGTTGTTGTTTTTTGTTAATTGGAAGTTGTAAGCATAATAAAAGTCATTTGGCTCCAAGCATTTAATAATATATGCTTCACATTGGAAATGTAACATCTAAAAAAAAAAGGATGCTTTATGTTTTTATGTAATGTTTGACTTCCTGAAAATCAAATGAATATTCATCCTGGTTGAGAGGCTTATTCATTAACATGAGTAATTTGAAACTCATGTTTACTTTTGTGATTGATTTGTTGAATATTTGTTGTGATCATATTACAACCAGTGTGTGGAACAACTCACTTCAGTCCCAGGATAATTGTACACAATTTTTTATTAATTCCTTGACCCCATTACAATGGTTACTTTGGGTAATGTGATTTGCCGAACATTCAACACGATCAAATAAAATGCTGAAACAAAGATGCCTCATCGTTAGAATGATGAAGAAATAGTGAGATGGAATCTGCTTCCCATTTTTCTATCATTACATATTGTACTAATTTGTAGGAACCTGTGTAATTGGAAGATTATTTTGTTGACCTAGTATGATGCTACTGTGTTGGGGGTCTAATTGCTTATTCTGCATTGTGACGTCTGTGCCAGAATATCAGTTTATTCTTCATTAGGTTATGTAGAAGTGTAAATATACCTGGATACACATGGTCACCAGTCCGTTAATCTGACATAAACAACTTGGGACTTGGTTTCTTCCAAAATCTACACATTTTAAGTGAACCAAAAGTGTGAAATGAGCTTCAGACTAGTTGAATATGACCAGTAGTGTCTAGCCTGTTGTCATTTCAAGATGGTATAAACATAATAATGTTGTAAAACACTATTTACTATGTTCTTTATATGCAAAAGATTTCCAAAGTCACTGTTTCTTTACCTGTCTGATATTTACTGAAAATGTTGAATGCAAGAGACATTATAATTAATATATTATCATTTCATGCCAGTTTTTGAGGTGTGTATTACAGCCCTAGTTGTATTGTCTTGCAATGTAGTGTAATGCCACTTCAATAGAAAATGGCTTCCTTCTCAAGAAATCTTGGTAGACCAAGTTATCAATATCTTGGGATTTCTGGTCTCCCCTCCCATGATATTGCCGGAATATTGCTAAAAGCGGTGTAAAACTAAACTCACTCAAAATCTTCGGAAGACAACTGCAAAGTCAGCGCATAGAAATATATCCGTTGCTCACTGTAAGTGTCAGGGGTGAAACAATGCACCACTGCATCTTGTATCACTTTTCTCTATATCAGGAAGAGCTTTTTATGGATATCAACTTCCTTATTACACAAGTTTCGGAGTATATCCTTACTCCTTCGTCTGGTGAATCCAAAACGTTGTGTTCCTCATAATAAAGAAGTTGACATCCATAAAACTCTCTTCCTGTGTATCACTTTCTAAATGCCACTGAAAGACCTGATTCTCTATTTTGCTGGGGCAGTGGGGGTAGCCCAATGGTTAATGCGCTCGCCCGTCACATCGAGGATCCGGGTTTGATTGCCACATGGGTACAATGTGTATAAAGCCCATTTCTGGTGTCCCCCTGATATTGCTGGAATATTGCTAAAACGGCCTATAACAATACTCACTCCCTCTATATCACTGCAGAACGATACACATGATAGAGAACTTACTACTGATTTACTGCCCTCCACCCCACCAGAAGTGTTTGTTGTTAGTCAGCGATGGAGTGATTGATTGAATAATAGGTCAATCAATTGATCTCGCTTGCTGCAGCGATTAGTGATGAGCTCAGGAGGCTAATCAATGTTCATAAAAAATGAAACATCAATTTAAACTTTAGAAAGTATGTTTCTTATTGTTATGTTTGTTAAATCAAGACATAAACGACTGATACAGTTTCCCGCCTCGTAAAGCTGCAATGTAAACAACATACTCGAGTGCATGTTTCAACAGGAAGTAATCTTGATCATGGTATTATTACTATTAATTGGGGCCTGTTTTGTTTGCAAAGTGCTGCGATCGCTCTGTAATTCCAACTTCAGTTTTGTGGTGTTTTTCACTCTTACAATCGATTATTGACCTTGCATTATCGATTAGCGAGTGATAACCAGCACTAGTATTTAGTTGTCAATAAAGTCCTCCCTAGCAGGACTCAAGCCTCTTTTGTTGGATTACTGATGCTAACTGGTGTCTGCTGATTATAGTATATACTGGATAATGAAAAGGTGTTCACTGAGAATTGTAGTGTTGTTTCCGTTTAAGTCTGTATATGGAATCTTCTTATTTAGATACAGATTCAGGATTGTATGGTTTTGTCAAGAAGTTGGTAATGAGATACTATTTATGAACATTTTCAATCAAGGTTTATTAGATACCTCAACTCAAATGTGGCATGAACGGCTTGACAGCGATTCTCTTGCATTTTATTCCTCTTTTAAATCTCTGTTAGAGTGTGATTGAATGGTATTTATCTATAGTAACGTCACCTATTCAAAGGATTCAAAATACTCGGCATGATTAAGCAAAGAATTCATACAGGCATGTATGGTTTCTGTAGCATAGAAACTGACCATAGGTTGTTGATATCCGAACCCTGTTGTCATTTTCTACAAATTTTATCAACAGCCATAATGGACTGCACTGGAGTGAGTGAGGTTTGTTTTACGCCACACTCAGCAATATTCCAGCTATATGGTGGTGGTCTGTAAATAATCGAGGCTGGTCCAGACAATGCAGTGATCAACAGCATGAGCATCGATCTGCGCAACTGGGAACCGATGACATGTGTCAACCACGTCAGCGAGTCTGACCACCCGATCCCGTTAGTCGCCCCTAACGACAAGCATGGATTACTGAAGATCAATATTCTAACCCGGACCTTCACGGGTAAACTAAATTTAGAAGTGGCAATGTGAACATTGGAGTTATGAAACTAAGAAGAGGACAGAGCACCGTAAATGATATCGATATATTGTGTAGGACCTGTTTATCCCTCGAAGATGAGAGTCATATATTGTTCGACTGCACCATATTTACAGACATAAGAAAAGAACTCATTCCAAAGAAAAACGATGGACAATGCATATCTATTTAATCACTCATCAATTCTCGAAATTCTGAAACCATTAATAATTTAGCTTAATATATTTTCCATGCATTTACTTTAAATGAGAACTGTAAACTCTACCTTACTGTCAAATTGCTTTGAATATTTAATGAATATGTATAATGGGTCATATGGCCTTTAATACGAATAAACATACCCGTACTCATATCTATTTTCAAAAAGGTGTTCACCTTGTTGTGCTGTACGTATGTCTGATCATAGCTACGTTTGCTCGCATTACCTTACCAGGTATGTCCAAATTAGAATAGATGAGAAGGTTATTTTTTTACCTGCAAATTACAACTCTTTTGAAGTGTATGATAGGACAGCAATGACACCACTGTGAGGCGAAAATTATACAAATTATGAATATTGGGGTGTGAATATTTGTTAGTGAATAGCACTGAATACAATAACAAAACAGCAGCTGAAGTATTCTTCATTATATTCAGTGAAACAATGAGAAAACAAAGGAATGACAAGCCTTTATGGAAGATCAACATCTTTATTGTACAATAGCGACATCTAGGTATAGATACTTACACAGTTTTTAAGCATGAGGTAGTGAATGAGTACAGTAGAATATATATACTGGATAAAAATAATTAGGGATGTATTTATTCATTGACAAAATATCAATCATAAAAATACCAATATCCCTAACTTATTTTGTCCAGTATACATAAGGTACATGAGGGCTAACAAAGAAAATATATTCTTTGACACGTTTTGATGATGGCATGTTGACAGTTTTAATTTATCCTGACAATGCTGTCACATATTTTTAATAAGAGTGTTGAATGTTTTCCTGTTTTTGATATGTTCCATCTTGCAAATATTACCTTCATAAATAACACCCAAATTTCAAGTAAATCTCCTCTTTTAATTAAATTCATGAATATTCAATCCTGGTGGTCACGATTAAGAAACTGAATTAATGAAAGTTTATGGTTCAGTTCACCGAATACACAAGTGAAGTAAGATTCCTTGTGTGTGCTGAGTAAGTTGTACACCTAAACTAATACAAGCAAGCTTTTGGGGTAGCCTTGTGGTTAAAGCATTCACTCATCACGTCGAAGGCCCGGGTTCGAGTCCCCCATGCGTACAGTGAGTGAAGCCCATTTCTGGTGTACCCCACCGTGATATTGTTGGAATATTGCTGAAAGTGGCGTAAAACTATACTCACTCAATCTATATAATGCAAACTATCTGCCAGGCTTGTCAACAGCTTTTGAATATCACTTCAGTGCATAAATTGTTTAGTTTTTTCACTTTATTAATTCATGGTACATGTAATTATATAAAGTATCATTCTAGAACATTATCATCTTTGTGCATCTTAATTGATGTACATAAGCACTTGTAACATGATTTTTATCTCACTGGCTTCTGTCATGAAAACATGCTAATAAGAACATGC